ATGTCTCGTCCATCTAACACCCTTTTTCTAGTAAACTGCATTTCGTTATATGACTGTATCATGATTTTACCAGTTTTCTGTTTTCAGATATTTTGGTTGTTTATTGTCATTGCTATTGTAAGAAATGCCACAGTGGAAATACTTGAATATGCTCTATGAGCACATATTGAACTATATTGTAGGATAAATTCCTAGAAATGGAATTGCTGGATCAAAGGTTATACCCATTTAAAACTTAAGTAAATGTTGTCAAATTGTTTTTCATAGTGGTTGTTCCAGTTTAATTCATACCATAAGTGGATGAAGTACCTGTTTCCTCACACCCTTATCAATATAGTGCATTGTTGAAATTTTTGGTGTTTGACAATCTGAGAGGTGTGAATTGTATCTCAGTGTAGTTTTCATTTACATTTTCTTTAATATGGCTGATGTTGAGCATCCTTTTGCATGTTTAAGAGCCATTGTAATTCCTTCTCTGTAAGCTGTTCATAGCTTTTGTTTATTTTCTATTAGGTTTCTGTGGTTTTACATTTTTAAATAAACTTTTTATTTTGGCATAATTTTAGATTTGAAAATACAATAATTAAGACCGTATGGTTTTAGAAAAAGGATCATCGGGACAGAGTAAGAGTCCAGAAATAGACCTATACCTTATATGGACAACTGACTTTTGACAAAAAAAGGCAACTTCTAAGAGTTTCTTCTGTTAAAATTAGAGAATTGGGAAAGACTGGAAGCCTTACATGTGGAATAAAAACACTTAGGTGGATTCAGATGAATTTGAGAACTTGTCATTCTAATCTTTCTGGGTTTCATTTGTCAGTGGAAACAATTCCTGCTCAACATCTCTCTGAGGAGGCAAGTCTTTTTCTGCTTAAAGATGCTGTAATTATCCCACCCACAATAGCTGATTTACAAGGTGATGCCTATTCTCATTGCCTAAAGACCTAATACATACCTAGAGTCAGATATAGCATGCCCCAGGGAGAGAATTCAAGGTCTGCTCCAGAAGGAGAGAACTACGTTGAATGAATTTCAAGGTCTTGCTCATTTATATTAGTACAGAAACACATGTGAGAATGGATTCTAATGGATTCTTTCACTAATGATGTTAGATCAAGATGAATGGAAAATAATAATGGATTGAGCTGAAGTTATTGAAACAGGCACATTTACCTTAGACTTTGGATTTAATATGTTGTCTTGATCAACTATAAGTGGTTCTGAGAGTTTTCTTGGTTGTTATACTAAAATTTGAATTCAGTAGCCTACAATCAACGGAGTTTAAGATGCCATAGCTTCCCTGCCATGAGGTAGAAGGAGAAATCCAAAGGTTTAGAGAGACAAGAATGTTGTAGTGAATTTATCATGTTCAAATCATTCCCCTTCCCTCTGACTATGTTCCAGGGAGGAAGCAAAAGGGGACCTTGCAGGACATTTTCTTTTACTAAGTCATTGAGAAGTCAGTCAGAGTAGGGAGATACTGACACTGAAATGGACTCTATGATTTCAATGGAAATTATGGGATTTACATTACTGGAAAACCTCTAGGCCTGTGGAGCAGAAACCTGACTAGAATTACCATAACAAGTTATGGTGTCTCACCATGTTCCTACACCTAAGCCAGTTTATGGATCTGGCATCCGTTGATTGCAGGGGTGTCTATGTCACCTTGAGGAAGGACCTGTGGTAATTGACTAGGATGAGTGTGTCCTTGGGGAAAAATGCAGGATGGACACTAGTTCTAAGTTGACTGATTTCTAGGGGATAGAAATGGCATTGTGGTCTACTAAATAGAGTGAGGGCTTATGGAGAATAGGGGATAAATTCTACCCTGAGTTTATCTCACAGTGGTCCCCGCATATAAAAGAGCCACTCTGTAGCTTTTGAATTCCTGAAGTCATGGTTGAAATATTTATATTTAGCAACTGGTAGAATATTTACATGACTCTCTGGGCTAATGTGGTAAGAAGGGTCAAATGGAAGCCAATGGAAAAGACTCTCCTACTAAAATAGTAAATCAAAAGTAATAACCCCTTTCTGGAGATTGTGAAGATTAGTTCTACCATTAAGGACTTGAACATTTTAGGCTGTTGATTCCTATCATTTCCTTGTTTAACTTGCTTGCTTGGCCGGTATAAATGCCGATTAATTTGGAAAATGCCTGTGAATCATTGTAAAGCTAACTGACAATTCCACTTATAGCTACTTTTCCAGGTGTTGTATTTTTGATGGAGCGAATGTACATAATCCCTGGTATTTGGTCTGCAGCTGACAGATGTTTTACCTTATATCAATTAATACGGATTATCAAAAGCTTTTGCTCTCACCTGGCAGAGACATCAGTAAACCTCAGAGCTATGTGAACTATCCTGCATTATCATAATATAATCCATAGGGTCTTTGATCATCTGGATATCTCACTGGATATCACTATTAGCATCATGCTGAGCATTTTGAGCAGAAAGAATCCCAGATATCATTCTAATACAAATGTATTACAGGAGGAGGGAGGAACCTCCATAAAAATTAAGGGGCCTGACACATCAGTGACATTTCTGAGGAGCATGTAGGGTTAACTACTCTAGACAAGTTCCTATGCCTTGTACCACTTGCCATCAAATCAGAGGCATAAAGCTCAATGAGACTCTTTGGATATTGGACGCAACATACATATTGTATTTAATTGTGACACTCTTGACATATTTGTTGAGAAACTTCTAACCTTGCCAATTTTGAGTGAGACCTAGTGCAAGAGAAGGCTCTATATAAGGTATAGTCTGCAGAACAAGTTTCTGTGCCCCTTAGCAGATTTAAGTGGCAAACATAGATAGAGGTAGGGATTGAAGCCTTCTTTTACAATTACACCAAATAATCCACTGGAGTTATTTTTGCTTTCATCTCAGCAACCTTGGACTCAGTGAGGCTGGAAGTCCTAGTGCACAAGGAAGGAATGTTCCCACCAAGAAACACAGTGATGGTTCTGTTGAATTGGAATCTGAGACTTCCCCTGACCATTTTGCATTTTCATCACGCTGAATCAACAGCCAGAGAAGGGGTCTCTGTACTAGAATCTGGGACTGATCACAATGATCAAGATGAAACTAGGTTGCTACTACACAATAGTGTAATGTGGGGTACATTTAGAACTCGGGTTCCCTGGGAGCCTCTTTAATAGTACCTTATCCAAAAGTCTTTGTTAAGGGAAAACCTTGGTGATCCAATAAATAAAGATCCACTAAAGACTCAAATCCCACAGGGCAAGGTTTATGTCACCCCACTAGGTAAATAACCCTATCCATCTGAGCTTTTAGCAGAGAGGGTAAGGAACATGAAAATGGGTGGTGGAAGAAAAGTGATCAATATGAACTTGACCTAGTAACCAGCTATGGAAATAAGCACAGCAGGCATGCATATTTTTCTTATAAATATAAACATAACATATAAAATGCATTATATATAAGTATATATTTTTATATGTGAACCAATGAGTTTCCCTTTTTCCTTCCCCTACTATTTTTTTTTTTTTTTAAATGAGGAGTGTTAGTTCTTTTCAATTTAGGTAAGTGTTCGCCAAGCTGAAGATCCATATACAGTCCAGAGGGAGAGGACCTCCTATCATCTGGAGTTCCTGGACGTGGTGAGGGAAACTACTTTGTGTTTCACCTTTTGGAGATCGAAGTGGTTCTTTATTTGTACAAAAGTTTGTTGAATTCCACAAGGTGGAAACATGTTTTATGAGAGTTAGGTATGAATAGAAGGGTGAGAGTAGGAGGTTCGTGGCAAAATGGGTGGACTGTGGTAAGCATTTGTTTGTTGATGCTCAGATTTCTCTCATTTTCCCCGCACTCTGCTCAATGTGGCAGAGACCTCCATTTCCCAGACTTCTTTGCATCAGACAATGAAAAACAATGGCAGAAGAGAGCAAAATAGAAGAAAACCCTCTCCCAGCTCCCCCTCTCTTTCTGTCTCTTTGTCTCTCTGTCTCTCTGTCTCATTTCCTTTGAGTGGCATCTTTAGCTGTGACTAGAACTTCTCTCTCTGTCATCCCAGCTCATGCCAGGCGACTCATACTAGGTTGTAGCTCATTTGGGACATCTTACAATTTCTTCTCTAGCCTTAGGAGTGCTATTGTCTTCATTTAAAAAAAAATTATAGGTTTCCTCACTTTTTCTTATGTGCTTCTCAGCTCTTTTGTCATCTATATGTCCAGTTTACTATCTTAATTTCTACTGTTTGGAATACCTACTGTTTTCCTACCTGGACCCTGACTACTGATAAATGTGTGTGCATCTGTGTATGTGTGCGTGTGATAAACCCATTTATGTAAAATGTTATATAAGTACACAGCATGTGTGTGTGTGTGTGTGTGTATATTCATGTGGTGGGTGTGTAAGTGCATAGAAAAGGTATAATAGGGACAGGTTTTCAAAGGGAGAGTAAAGGAAGGCTTTCAATTTTCCTATATATTATTTTCATTTTATTTTCATTAATTTTTACAACAAACACCTTGTAGTTTTAAAACACATAGTACTTTTTGAATGACTCAAAGTTTCCTAGGTAACTGTCTGTGCATCTGGTGGCAGCTTTAATGTCCTCAAAGTTTTACACAGAGAGTATATTAGTATAGTTGCAGTGAATTCCCCTTATCTATACCTCTAGATGATCCCTTTCCTTAAACAATATGAGAAATGTATATTTACTTGGGTCAATGAAAATATTTCAGGTTTCACTTTCTTGTGTCAGATTCTATTTTGTTCAATGCAGTCCAATAAGTAGTATATCTAAACATTCACAGAGGACATGAAGTCACTATATCATTATCTGGTGTCAATATATTCTCTCTGCAACTGCTACATCCCATGTTATACAATTCAAATGAAAATATGAGTATTCTGTGTTGGTTGGTGGGCTTGCCATTTTGTTAGTGATTTTTTTTTTAGTGCTAAAATTTGTCAAGTGCTAATTATCAAAGATATAAGACAAAACGATGCTCTTAAATTCAGAACTGTCAAGGAAGGTTTGACTTAGGTGTTACTCTAAGAATGCTATAAAACTTATAAGCCCAACGCATTTTAACAGCTCTAATTTCATGACTACGGTTATTATGAATATCCCAGTTATATTCTGGAGACAAGAGTTTAGTGGGTTTATGGAGAAAGAAATACTTGTTTAAGTGACTTTCATCGTGCCACACTGCTTCAATGTTATTTTTCTTATCATTCATGATTCCTTTGCTGCACTCCCTGGTAATGCTGAGAACCTGCATAGGTGTGCCACCAAATACAGCAGCATGGTAATAAAAGTCTCCCTTACCAATAGGTATATATGCTTCTGACGACTGATTTCTCTCATAAGGCACCTCTGTAGGATGTGCTTTATACCAATAAGCATGTAACTGAGCCACCGACTCCCCCAGGGTCTCCAGTCCATATTTCTTCATGAAGATCTGATCCACGTCCATGCAGAAGAGGAAGTCAACTTCATATTGGATGTGATCTACAACATGCTCACTGATGGTCTTCATGCGCATCATGCTAATATCTTGCCATCTCTTCTCTTGCTTAATTTTAAAAACTTTCATTGTATGGAAGCGACCCAGCTCTATCCAGTGCACTTTGGAGAAGTTATCTGTCAGGATATAAATTATGACTTTCTGGCCAACCATAAAATACTTATCAGCAGATGTCATAAATCTGTACAAATAGAAATCAATATATCTGTGAAGTAAAAAAGAAACAATTAAGTTAACTTTCTTGTATTTTAGTGGAACACATACTATTTAAATTACACTGACTGTAGTTTATCCAAAAATGCTACTAAGCAACCAAATATTAGATATGCTTCTTTTTTTTAAATGTAGGAAATCTTTTTTTAAAATGTTTTTATTGATTTCAGAGAGGGAGAGAGAGGGAGAGAGAGAGAGAGAAACATCAATGATGAGAGAGTGTCATTGATCAGCTGCCTCCTGCAGGCCCCCTACTGGGGATTGAGCTCACAACCCGGGCATGTGCCCTGACTGGGAATCGAACCTCCGTCTTGTGGTCCTTGTGGTTCATGAGTCTACGCTCAACTACTGAGCCAAGCCGGCCAGGCTAGACATGCTTCTTGAGTTGTATTTAAGCAGTTATGCATAAACGGTCAATAGTGGGATAGTTAATACACCACTGTCTGCACTGTCGTGTTTTGTGGCCTTTAGTATGGTGCTAAGGTTACTGGATTGGAAAATAAACCTTTTCATTTCCAGTCTCTCAAGCCAGTAAAGAGTCTCAGAGTAACAAATAGCCTCAGGTAAATTTAAAAAGGAAAGGTGGCACAGCTTCAAAAAATGTTTATATAATCATTAAAATTAAATTCTGGGCATTTATCCAAAGAAAACAAAAAATTGGAAGAGAGATATGCACCCCACGTTCATTGCTGCATTATTTACAATAGCCAAGCCCAAGTGTTCATCAACAGATGAATGAATAAAGAAGATGTGGTACATGGTTAGAGTGTCATCCCATATGCCAAAGCTGTGGGTTTCATCCCTGGCCAGGGCACATACAATAATCAACCAATGAATGCAGAAAGAAGTGGAACAAGGAATTGATGTTTCTTGCTCTCTCCCTTTCTCTCTCAAATCAATAAATTAAAAAAAGAAAAGATGTGGTATACATACATATACAATGGAGTATTACTTAGTAATAAAAAGAATGAAATCTTGGAAGCTAGCAACTCAAATCCAAAGAAGTCCAATTTATCTACATTTCTTTTATGGTTAGTGCTTTTGTGTCATGTTTCTGAAATCTTTGCTTTTTCAAGGTAGTGAAAATCTCCTACGTTTTCTTTTAGTAGCTTTGTTATTTTTTATCTTTCACATCTAAGCCTATTATCCATTTGAATTAATTTTTGAGTGTGGTGTGATATAGGGATGTTTTGTGTATCAGTCTCAACCTATTGATAGTGATGCTGTGAGCTAGGAATGCCTACAGCCACTCACCAGAGCCCCAGCTACTTGTGGTGAGACCCCCATAGACATTTTCCTACCAACAGTGTGGCTGCCCAGCATTTATGGTTCTTATGATTGCAAGATGCACCTCAGTACAGCCATCAGGGAACTCTGAAAAAACAAGGCTCACAAGTCCTGGAGGGTGTACATGGTGTGTGCCCAGGATCACAAGGGAAGGAGGGAAGGAGGGAGGAGAAAGAGAGCTCTCGGACCTGGGGTTCTGCCTTTACTGGGGTAGAGGATGGGTTGTCTAGGGTTTCACAAATTTACTCTTTATTATTGAATTTAAAATGTAAGAGCAGGAAGTAAAGTGTGGAAGAAAGAAATGGGGTTACTCAAGCGGTCAATTATGGAGGTTCCCCGGGGCTTTCTAAAAGAGAAATTTCATGGGTGGGGCAGCTGGCTCTTTATCTAGGCGTTTAGCTAGTAACCAAGTCACAGCTGGCAATGTGTTTATTTGAGATGGATGTCTGAAATGGATACCAGCTCTGGTAAGGTGGGGGGTGTTGTGGAGGGGATTGAGCAAAAAAGAAAAAAAGAGGGAACTCATGGATAATAATGTGGTGATTGTGGAGGGAGAGGCAGGGGGGAGGTGGAAGAGGGCATAGAAGGGATAAATGGTGATGGGAAAAAAATTGAGTGCTTAAAAAAAAACTTAATGCCAGGCATGTATAATTTTAAAAAGCTGATGGTCACGCATTTATGCTACAATGGAAAACTTAATTTTTTTCAATTTTTAAAAAACTTTCTATTTTGGAATGTTATTAGATATACTGAAAAGTTGTGAATATATTATAGAAAGCTCTCATGTACACCTTACCCACCTTACCCTAATGTTAATATTTTATAAAACCATGGCACATTTGTCAAAACTAGGAAATTATCAGTGGTAAAGTACTATTAACTATTTGGATTTCACTGGATTTTCCCCTAATAGCTTTTATAGTTTCCAGGATCCAATCCAGGACACACATTGCATTTAGTCATTAGGTCTCCTTAGTCTCCTCTAATCTGTGTCAGTTTCACTCCTTGTTCATGACCAGGACTATTTTGAAGAGTCCTGATCAGGTATTTTGTAGAATGATCCTCAGTTTGGGTTTCTCTGATCATTTCTTAGTTAAAGTTAATTTTAATACAGTCACATTTAGCAGCCTTCTCCTTTATAATTAGTATTTTCTATGTCTAGATTAAGAAATCCTTTTCTAGCCTGAGTTCATGAAGATAAACTACAGTTTTTCCTTTAACTTTTGGTCTTTAAAATACCTGCAACTGGATGTTTGTTTATACTTGTATGCTATAGAGGTACAATTTTAATTTTCCCATGGTGACATCAACTTTCTGCAGCATCATTTATGGAAGTCTTTCCCTACAGAGCTACATGTCGTTGCCACTAAATATTTCTTCTTCCCTCTTTCCTTTTTTTCTTTCTTTGTTCCTCCTTCCTTTTCCCCTCCCTCGTTCTCTCCCTCCCTCTCTTTCTTCCTCTGTGTTTTTTTCTTTATAAAGAATATATTACTATCATATTTAATAGCAAGTTACTATAGATACATTGTTTAACTTAATACTTTATGCACTTTTTTGGCATGATTTTGCTATCAGGGCAGCGCTTGCTTCATAAAATGAATTGAGAAGTGTTCCCTCTGTTGCAAGAATTAATGGGCCAGCTTTCCCAGACATGAGTGGGAATGAGGTGGAGGTTCTTGGGGCACCGTGAAATAAGCATTTTCAGAAACTCCCACAGGAGGATGAGATGTGGAAGATTTTACTGGTGTAGTTACATTCCTTAGTCTCCAGTGTCCCATTTCACCCAAGCTAGTCCTGAAATAGAAGAGGAGGTGATGTCGTTGTAATCACGATATATTTAAAGAAAAGATATATTTAAAAAGATATATTAAAAAAATAGAATTTAAAAAATATCTATTGATTTCAGAGAGAGGAAGGGAGAGGGAGAGAGAGAGTTGAAACATCAATGATGAGACAGTCGTCATAGATCGGCTGCCTCCTGCACGCCCCCAACTGGGGATGGAGCCCGCAACCTGGGCATGTGCTCTGACCAGGAATCGAATCTCAATTTCCTGGATCCTAAATCGATGCTCAACTGCTGAGCACGCCTGGCCAGGCCTCTACTATTTTATTTTTGTAAGAGATTGTATAGAATTGATGTTAATTCCTCTTTAAATATATGGTAGAATTCTCCAGTGAAACCATCTGGACCTGGAGACTTTGGAAGTTTTTAAAATTATAAATTCTATTTCCTCAGTAGCTATTCAAATGATCTATTTCATGTTGGGTGAGTTATGGTGGTTTGTGGTTTTCAGGGTTCATTTTATCTAAGTTGTCAAATATATGTGTGTAAAGTTTTTTGTAATATTCCCTGATTATCCTTTTGATATCTGAAGGTCTGAGGAAATATACCCTGTTTCTTTCCTGATATTTGTAATTTGTGTCTTTTTTTCTTTCTTTGCCAGACTTCTTGGATGATTGTAAATTTTATTTTTCCCCCAAAGAACCAGCTTTTTGTTTTATTGATTTTTCTCTATTGCTTTCAGTTTCATGGATTTCTGTTCTTATCTTTATTATTTCCTTCTGCTTCCTTTGGCTTTATTTCGCTCTACTTTTTCTAGATTTTTGAGGTAGAATTATTGATAATCTCTTATTTTCTACAATAAACAGCTGAATGTAAAGGACACATAGTATTAACTACCTTCCCACAGCAAATACAGTCAGCCCCACAGTAATTTTACGATTTGCATAATAATTTTCCAATACTTCTTCTTTGTATGTACCGTGCCACACAACCGGAGCTAACCAGTTGGTAGTTGCATTCATGGATGCTCTGTAAGTAAGACATAAGAATTATGAACAAAATGCCTTTTAATAAAATTGCAGTAGATATTACTTATGTGATTACAGTATTTCCTTACTCTTAACCCTAAGTCTTGATGGTTATGATAAACTGGAGAAACAGCTTATCAGAAATGGCCAGATCATTACAAAAGTACACTTAAAGATTAGTTATACTGTGATTTCAAGACCTTTGAGGACACATAGTTGAAACATTGCCCAAAGTGTAAAGTAACAATTTATCTTTTATTTGGACAAAATCTCCCGGTCCTAGTCTTTTTTACACTGATTATTTTCAGAAACCATATTTTGAAAGTGGAACTTCCCAGTTTTCATAATCTTAAATGTTTTCAGTGCTGATGTTACTGCATACTACCAGAATCATCCTTGTCAGAACTTTGAAAGATAGTCAAAGGTTTAAAGCAACCAAGCAAATGTTAAATCAAGAAAAAGATGACTCAGCCCTATCTGGTTTGGCTCAGTGGTTTAGAGCATTGGCCTGCGGACCGAAGGGTTCCAGGTTTGAATCCAGCCAAGGGCATGTACCTCAGTTGCAGACTTGATCCCTGGCCCCAGTCAGGGCACGTACAGGAGGCAACCAATCGATGTGTCTTTCTCACATCATTGTTTCTCTCTCTCTCTCTCTCTCTCTCTCTCTCTCTCTTTCCCCTCCCCCTCCCTCTCTCTCCCTCCTACTCTCTCTGAAAAGCAATGAAAAAAATACCCTCTGGTGAGGATTTAAAAAGAAAAAGAAAAAAAAAGAAAAAGGGGACTCAATATGGTAGGAGTAGGAAAGCTTTGTGGTATTTTTTAATGTAGCCTTACACCAAATCCCTCCCCAGTATGGTGGCAGTATTGAAAATAGCAAATTATGTTCTCAGTGTGAGTATGTGATTCTGGAGGGAGAAGAGTGGATCAAACTCCCAAGGAATTATGTTTGTTGAGAGTTTTCGGAAGGACTGACTGTTTCACTTAACTCAGAGCTCTCAGAATGGAAAAATGACTAAGTGGAGAGTGTTTCTTGAAAACATTAAAAAAAGAACTAACCAGTGCCACCTGGGGCAAAAGGTTATGGTTTGGAATAAAAGCTAAATATGCTGAAAGCCTCAGAGTTCTTTGGAAAGTAAGGGCTTTGACAAGATCCCGTGTATAACGTGGAATTGAGAAATCCATGCATAAGCTCAGGGCATGACGCCTGCTCAGAGAAGATATGTGAAGACCCATTGACTTCATCTCCTGCTGATACTCAGGGATGACGAAAGCAGGAAGTGAAGGCTAAGGCAGAGTTGTAAATAGCCAGGCCATGTTGAAGGAGGGTCCAAACATAGAGCCAGTCTTCAAAGTCTGGGAGAGTTTTTTTCTTCTTTTCTTAGTTTTATTTTATTTTATTTTCTCCTCCTCCTCCTCCTCCTCCTCCTTCTTTCTTCTGTCCTCCAACATCCCCCCCGCCCCCGGCTCTAGGCACTTATGGAAATCTCTGTGAAACCATTCTCTGACCATGAGCTAAAAGAACAGAGAACTCTGAGACCGAACAAAACAAAGAATAGAGTCTTTAAAAAATTGTTTAGAAAAGTCACTAGATAGACACACACTTGCAAACCACAGTAAGCAAGAACAACAAATTCTGAGGAGCAAAATAACCTGATGTCCAGAGAGAGCACGTCATAATATTCAAAATGTCTAGTTTTCAACCAAAAATTATGCATGCAAAGAAACAAGAATGTATGGCCTATCCAAAGGAGAAAATTAGCAAAAACTTTCCCTGGGGCCCTACCCGGTTTGGCTCACTGGTTAGAGGGTTGGCCCACAGGTTCGATTCCAGCCAAGGGCACGTACCTCGGTTGCAGGCTTGATCCCCAGTGTGTGGGGGACAACCAATTGATGTGCCCCTGTCACATTGATGTTTCTCTCTCCCTTCCACTCTCTCTGAAAAGCAAAGGAAAAAATATCCTCTGGTGGGAATTTAAAAAAAAAACAAAAAAACCCTCCAAACAATGGAATATTATTCAGCTATAAAAAGGAATGAAATACTGATATATGCTACAACATAGATGCACCTTGAAAATACGCTAAGTGAAAGAAGCTAGACATAAAAGGCCACATATTATACATCATTCATATGAAATGTCAAGAATAGGTAAATCCAGAGAGTCGGGAAGCAGATTAGTGTTTGTCAGGGACTGGGGAGAGGGGAATGAGGAGTTACTGCTTAATGGGTACAGGATTTCTTTTTAGTGGGATGAAGATATTCTGGAATTGGACAGTGTGATAGTTGCACAATATTGTGGAGATACTAAAAGCCACTGAATTATACATATTAAAATGGTGAATTTTATACTATGTGAATTTTACCTCAATAAAAAATAGTAAGCTACAGAGAGAAAATATCCCATAGTGTATAACTGACAATGAGATTATACCTGGAATATAAAGAGAGCCTCTTCAAATCTGTAAGAAAAATAAATTATTTGGGGGATGGAGGGAGAGGAGAGAGATGAAATGGCAGTTTATAAAACTGAATACCCAAGTTGGCAATATTCATATGAAAATATGTTCAACCTTAATTGTCATCAAGGAGAAAAAATGCAATAGGAATTGAAGTGCAATTAGAAGAAAAAGATTCTATTAATTATCTTAGAACTTGTTATAAACTGAATTGTGTCTCCTCCCCCAAATTCATTTGCTGAAGTCCTTAATCTCTTGTGTAACTGTTTGGAAATAGGGCCTTTGAAAAGGCAATTAAGGTTAAATGAGGTCATAATGGTGGGGCTGTAATCCAACGAGATTTTGTGTCCTTATAAAAGGAGGAGATACCAGGGATGCATGTGTTCAGAGAAAAGGCCATGTGAGGACACAGCAAGAGGACAGCCACCTGCAAGCCAAGATGAGAGGCCTCAGGAGAAACCAAAATTACCAGACACCTTGATCTTTGACTTTGTCTTCAGAAGAGGGGGGGGAAAAATCAATTTCTGTTGTTTAAGTAAAAAAACACTCACACAAAAAAAGCAATGGGAGTTGAATTTTATTAGTAGCCTATTTAGAATCTTTTTAAATGATTATATATTCTTCTCCTTTTTTCAGTTGTGACAAATCATCCTTTTGCATTACGAGCCTGAGCCTTACTTGTCTTAGTGGGATTCTGTGCCAGTTATTAAGCTATTATCTTGCATAACTAAACCCACCCCCCTCTACTCTGCTTTATTTTGCTGACCTTGGACTCTGTAAACCATATTTGCCAGTGGGCACCCTGTTAGGCTTCGCTAATAGCAGGCACTGGAAGAAAATGACAAGCTTGAAGGAAGAAGGAACTTTCTCCTGTTTCCTGTGGGCTTCATGTCAGTGCCTTGTTCCTGCAAGTCCCATTCCAGCAAGGCATCTTTACCACAGCAATAGCAGTTCCCCTCCAAAGCAGCAGTTGAATCCAGCTTTCAGTTTTTTCAGCACTTGTGAAACCAGTCTCTCTGTGCTCATTAGAGGTCTGGTTCCCTGCCCCAAGAGGCCTCTGTAGAGCTCAGAGACACCACCAGATATGTGGCTTTGGAGTTTAACCACCTGGAGCTTCTTTAAGTTTCTAAGGTTTAATAATCCCAGCCTCTTCCTTTTGTCTCTTCAGCTCTGAGGAACAGTTACTTCCTGTTTTTGTCCCCTCCTATCACCTCAGATTCTCTTTTCAGTCTTTCAAGTTTCCTAGTTAACAACTTTATGCTAGGTAACAATTCTTTATATTAAATTCTCTGTTTAAATAGTTGGTGTGCTTTCTGTGTTATGATATCATGGGAGGATGTCATGGACCTGTTATCCAGTAATAATCTTAAATGGATGTCTCCTTTCACATTTTAATTAGGTGAAACCCTTAAATCCTGTATCATCGGAATGAAAGATAGATGGGTAGAATAAGAAGATGGAAGCGGAGAGGCTAGAGGAAAGCTGCTGTATTAACCATGAAGTACACAGATAGCCCATCTCTCTGATCTGGGCTTTGGTTCTCTCATTGGTGAAATAAGAAGAATCGACCAAATGGTGTTGAATACACCTTTACACGTTTGACCTGCCATCATTCTAGGACCTTTGAATTTTTGTTACCTACACACTCATTCACGGAGGATGTGGGTCCTAATGTCCATTCCCAATGGGTCTTGGCCACTGCTTATTTTAAAAAATGTAGTCAAAGGTCCATCTGCTCTCCCACATTTGGAGTGCCAGCCATGCTACTTTTGCCATCTGTTCACTTCTGCTGAGCAACCTATGGATGGATCTCACGTTAGATTTGGCACTCTTACCTGGGGAAAAACCAGTCTGATAGCTTTAATTCTGGTTGAGTATTCACGGACCTATCAAGAAAAATAAAGCAAAGAATCACAGTATATCTTACTAGAGTTTGAGATAACTGGATTAGATAACGTGATTAGATAACTATCAAATCATGGGCTATATTATAATAAGATGTCGAATGCAAAATGAACCTGAATCAGTAAGAAAAACCGTGCTGAACTTTGATAGTAGTGGCATGGAAAAATCACGATTTTCAACCTGAACGTAACTCTGTGTGCTGCCCAGAAATCCTTGTTTCCACAGTTCTCATTCTCATTCTTCTAATTCACAGAGAAAATAGCGGCCATCAAATGAAAACTCCCTCAACTTTCTGATTTTGTAGGTGGCATATGCTGAATACAATCTCCTGAGTCTTTTAGCCAAGGCTTTATTCCTATGCGTTTTCGCAGAGCTGTAAAGGGCGCAAGGTTCCTATAGGCTGAGTTCTGATTCCTGTAACTCGTTCCCCTAACCAGTTCTCACTCTGTCAGAGACAGCACTCTGCCAGTTTGCTCTTTCTTTGACTCCCAGTATTCTGACCTTCAGCGAATATCTCCAACATGTGTTTGTAAAACTGCTTTGGTTTACTCTGTCTGCAGGAACCAAGGACTTGCAGGTTCTCCATTGCCCTTCAACCAGTTTTGTCCTCAAAGAAGAGGTCATAGCGTAGTTATAAATCCTTACCAGCACTGATATATCCTCTGTAGTTTCTTTGTGCTTAGGGTAAATAAAAAAGCATTATATTAATTTCAAACTTATACAAAGGGTTTCTACATTTAAGATGACTAGAGTTATACTCAGTCAATCCATTCATTTTATTACCTAATTTTACCTAATATTACCAAATATTTAATGAACACATAATGTTATGAACAGTAACGTCTGTGTTCCCCCTCAGATTCATATGTTGAAATCCTAACTCCCAATGTGATGGTATTAGGAAGTGCGGCTGTTGGGGGTGATTAGGTCAGGAGGGTAGAGTCCTCATGAATGAGATTAGTGCCTTTTAAAAAGAGATCACAGAGAGCTCCCTCATCCCTTCCACCATGTGAGGGCACAGTGAGGGAATGGCTGGCTGTGAACCAGGAACAGGCCTTCACCAGACACCGAATCTGCTGGTGCCTTGATCTTGGGCTTGCCAGCCTCCAGAACTGAGAGAAATAAATGTCTGTTGCTCATAAGCCACCCAGTCTAGGGTATTTTGTCATAGCAGCCTGAATGGACCAAGACACATACTGTGTGTGTGCCAAGTACATGGTTGGTTGTAGAGTTCAGTAAAGAACATGATAATTACTGTGGTGATTTGGCATAACTATTACTAATGTGCTATATCATATCAAATGATGGATAAAAAGTACATGCTATATCTTAAAAAATAACTAATTCTTTGAGAGAAAAAGATAAAATTCTTTGAGAGAAACTTATCATTAAAACAATGAAATTTGCTAATTGCAAATGAAGTCTTTCTGCTTGTCTCAAATATGTGGAGGGAAAATACCATGCATAGTGCCTGGAGACACCAATATTAAGGCTGTTTCTTAAAGAGGATGCAACCTATTTAAAAATGGCAGTTTCTCTATATAATATTTACTGACATTACATTGCTGTAATTACACAGTAACTGTCTTGGCAGCTTAACAATGCTTTTCCTCACATATATTGGCCTACAAAAATTACATTTAGCTTTGATCTCATTAGAAACAAAGAATTTTTATGCTGAAGGCTGTATTTATGCTGACATATTTGGATGTCATTTGTGTATATATTTGGGTATATTGGGATCGATACACTTCCATACTGATTTATTCAGGGGATGAGCCTAGAACCTTTCTGACATAACCAGGTCCTGCCAAACATCAGAATAAAATATTCATTATTTTTAAAAAGTTACCTGAATTGATACTCTCTTTGCAAGGCCCATAGAGACAATAAAAGCAAAAACAATAGAATTGTTTTTCTTTTGTATCTCATTCTTTACTAGGAGAAAAAAGAAACAGATAAAAGTAGGTTAAATAAAGTACAATGTAAACAGAGTAAGCTGTGTTGAATCCCACCTCTCTGTGACTTAAACTAGATGACTTAAGTTTTTTTAGGATTTAAGGAATAGTTTTTATCTAGGATTTAAGGAATCTTTGGTCATTGGATTTTGCTTTATATGAAAGTAGAGTTGAGTCAGTGAAGAGACACCATTTATTTGAGCTATCTGCCTATAGTGTTAGGATATTAACTAGTCTGGTCTTGATATAAGACTTCTTATAAACTTCATTCAACTTTTCTAAAGTACAAAGGGCTTTTCTAAAGTACAAAGGGCTTTTTTCTATAGAAAAGTTATGCCACTTTCTCTCCTAACTCTGGGGAGTCAGAGAAAAGAGAAAACTGTGAAAACACTTTACTTGGACTCTAAAGAGTTGTATAATTATAAAGGGACTTATTAATTATTTGTAATTAAATAATGTTATAAAGTTGATCATTCCAAGATAGGTGATAGAACTGATAACAGTATAAAATATGTGCCCCTCTCAAAAGTATTTGAATATACAATTGATTCAGGGCACTCACTGGAGGCTAAACTATAATTTTTAGATTATTTGTGCATTGATCTTGGAATTTTAGCTATTAAGTTTACATAACTCTTTTGTAATATTTAATCTGTGGAATATAAAATTGTGTGCAGAAAAGAAATTGGATATGGCTTAATTTGGTTGAAATTAGGGACAAACTCTTACCTTTGTTTTCCTAAGATCACATAGGTATTTTATACAGTTTCTTCCTTGAAGACTTAACATTTATGGTACAGTGGTTTGGGTAGACGTGGAAAATCTTAAGAGGGCAGACAGTTTTCAAGCAGGAACTTTTGAGACCTTTGAAAAAATCATAAATCAGATAACCTCTTTTTGGTTCTATGGCACTCTCCAGTTTTTGTGTTTATTACTTCAGTCTTCTGTGAATGACGATGTCATCAGATTCTCTTTTGATGATGAAAGAACTAGATACTTGCAATCATAACAATTCACATGCCTGTAACTTCTCTTTGTAGGGGACTGGATTTTGTCCATTTTTTAAAAAATAAGATCACTTAAGTTTCTTTCTTACAGATTTTTTTAAAGCTTTATAACATGTTTTTAAATGAAGTATAATTTACATAAAGTAAAACATAGTTTAATTGTACACTTTATTGGGTTTGTTACACATGCACATGTGTATGTGAAAACCACTTTATTTAACTTTTCTTGTGCCCTTTTGAATTACTACCTTCCCCCACCCTGGAAACCAGTGTTCTGATTTCTATTATCATAGCTGAATGATTCCTACTGTAGAACATCGTGTAAATAAAATTGTACGGTAGATACTCCTTACATTTACTCCAAGGTTTTGCAACTCACCCATATTATTGTGTGTATCTCACACCATACAAAAGTTAATTCAAAATGAATTATAGATCTAAGCATAAAAGCAAACTCCACAAGCTCTTGCTCATGGGCTGGTTGTAGTGATGTGCACAGGGAGTTGTGAAGTATTGTGTACAACAGGCTCTCTCACAGGAATGAACCAGCTTCAGTACACCACTGACTGGTTGTCAACTCTGCCTTTTATTCAGTGGAACTCTCCAGTAGCCTCTCCATTATCTCTTTTGGGTTTTGACAGCTCAAGGGGGTGTCTGTTCCTTACAACCAAAATATCTTTAACTGAAACACCTGGCTAGCATAACCACCTTTTATTTTCAACAGTTACAGCCAATTCATGGAAAGCGTATTCTAACTTTGGCTTTTTCATAGCCCCATACTTTAAATATTTATAGCTATTTTCATTTATATGTAAAATTCATATCTATTTCTATAAATGGGCAGTCTTCACCAGGTTCAGAAAAGAGGTTTGTTTTTAATCACTGCAGTCGCTTAGAAGAACAGTGTTACTCTGAAAATCCCTGCCCTCCAGTGCCCAATAACAGGGAGCCGCCCTCTTCTTTTATCTTCGCTGTGAGCGCTGTAGGAGCGCTGAGACGCGAGTGCCAAGCTTCCGATGCTCACCAGGACTATTCCTCAGGTACAGATGCGTGGGAATTATGCATATTGGCTCTCCCATGCTTCTTTCTCAATGAAGTTCAAGGGAATTTTACACCAGGGTTCTTCAACCTCATCACATTTGAGCCAGACAGTTCTTTGTCCTGGGGGCTTTCCTGTGCATTTTAGGATGTTTAGCAACATCCCTGGCCTTCCCCCACTAGGTGTGAATAGTAACCCCCCCC